CATTGAGGGGAAAAAGAAGAAGCGAAAATGCTCTTTTTAGTCACATGAGCAGTTACATGACAGAGATGGCAACAGAGTAACTGTGCAGACTCTGTCACGTGTCTTTTCCTTTGAGTACAGGAGTAGCTTTCATTTACGCAAACAGAGGGACACTTTGTGGTCTTGTGATTCTGAAGCAGACTGCCACCCTGTCATCACTTCGCTCTGGTCGGTGGCAGAGAAGCAAACTGAGGATTTGGCTCCACAAATCAAATATTTCTACCAAACCGGAGAACAATGTTTGAAAGCTGAACTTATATTCTGAGACATGAGCTCATACAGTCAACAATGTGCTTCTACATTTATCAAGTGTGTTTGTTATTGGGCTGATATTTTTAGTTTTTCTTCAGATCCTGATGATTCATTGCCGTTTGCTACATATCATGAATAAAACTGTAATACATTAGCTCATCCTTGAACAGGATTTGCACTTGAGCTACTTAAGGTAGATTTTCATTTTGGCAAATGTGGTGAACATAACTACTCCCATGATCCCACACTGCTTCATGACATCATTTGTTTTGATTAAGGGACCCCTAGTGGCCGAAGTTAGAAACTGTACGTTTATTTCGATGAATCAATTTGTTTTTGTGATGTTCATTTTCTTTTAATATTTTCTGACAATTTATAGATTAAACTTTCAGAAGACAACTGTTAGACACATCAACAATGGCAGTAGTTTTTGTCTCTGCAGTAACAGCACAGTTTTCTCACTTAATTCTAACCAAGAAAGTGAATCACCATATTTTCCTAAACCCTTCCAGTAATAAAAGCTGAAAAACAGAAAGTGAGCCAATGCTGGAGTTTTTCAACTTCTATGTGAATTATAATGTGGTTTAAAATCCCCACAGCGGAGTGTCTCAGTAAGTGTGTCTCAGAAATTACAGTAGTTTTTTCTTTGACCTACAGTATAGCGGTCATGTGGCCTGACACTGTGTTTGCAGTAGTTGACGTATGTGTGACCTTTGTCCCACTTAACATATCCCCCTCCTCCACCCTCCCCTCCCCTCGTACACTGTTTGACCATGTGACTTTGGGTGTACAATTTCATCAGGGGGGTCAGGACCTACAGTCTTGAGCGTGGTAGTCTTGTGCAAAGTCAGACTCTGTTCCGTACACCAGAGTTCATTGTGACCGGAGGAGGTCAGGAGGAGTATTGATCTACCCCCTCACCCAATTTCTCAACGTATTGTCGCTGAATATCAGCTCATGTCTCTACCTGTTCACCTTTTCACAACTTCCCTTCAGTCTGGGCATGGGCTCATCCAAAGTTACCTGTGGAGCATCCTTGCTCAATGCCCCTGTAAACCTTTATATATTAAAGGTTTTACACAGGAATATGTCAACTCGTTCCTCTATTTAGATCCCTCCCCTTGGGACATGCTGCCCTGTTTGTTAATCAGTCGAATTATCAATAAGGTCCTGGCAGCTGCATCCACGTCAATAACACATGAATTCCACATGTCGACATTTAGCATTTTTGAACCAAATCGATAACGAGCAACTGCTTTTGCTTCTACTTGTCTTCAAATCAGGGAGTAGTAGACAAGTTTAAAGAATTAAGTACTGCACCAGTGTGGCCTGTTATAATGCGTCTGGGCCATTTTTACCCCTTTATGAAGAAGTGAGATTCGAACACCGTCTGAAAGAGTTTGGTTTCAGGTTTACAGTAAATGTCTTCCTCTCATGTGAGCTATAATAAGCAGAAAATCTGTAACAGAAACTCATTGACATAGAGCAAGGACATAGAGGAGCAATGATTTACAGACTTACGTGAGATTATGGCTGGAACGAATTGTCGCTTTCATAATTCATTAAACGCATCTAACCTCTGTTTCTCTTTAGAACAATTTTTCGGTTGTGACATGTTCTTGTCATACGTACTAAATTGTTCCACTTAAAATACTAATTTCTTGCTATAATGACATATTTAATTAGTTTTATGCTGTTTCTTAAGCCTCATTTACACTGGACAAAAAGCCCACTATGAAACTCAAAAACATCTTGCTTTTGTCTTCAGTGGGAAAGGAAACAATTGCTGATAATTTTCAGGTCAAATGACTCAGCAGTAATCATGCGTATCTGTATGGAGATGACAATCTGCGCTTGTGAGTCTCCAGCTATTTCAGAAAGGAACTCTGGTAAATGTGTGTACCCCTCTGGATGAACTGAAAGCGAGTGGGGGGGTTGATGAACCTTCTTTCACGTGACAGACACAAAAACGAAGCGGTGTCATACACGTAGAAGACACCGAAGAAGATAACAAGAGAGTTGGTGGCATTAAGAGCTGATGCCGGTGTCTGTGTAATGATCTCCGCAGCAGAGTTTATTCATCACTTCCTGTCTCTATCTGCTGCTACCGGCTGCTTCACCTCTCGCCTGAATAATGCAGAGGATTTGTTGCTGTTGCAAAAACGCGTCTGTGAAGAAAACCTCCCTTTGCGTTGTGCATGCGTGAAAAGCAAAATGCTGGTTTAGTCCAGACCCAATTCTCCGGAATTTATCCGCAGGTTATGTCTGTGATTTTCAATGAGCTGTTTTCAATCTTGAGAAGGAGGTTGTGCGAAGAGGCTAAAGCTAAATGGCAACAATCCTCATCAGCTGCTACATGAAGAAGTCATGTAATACTAATGCTATAAAAACAACAGCACTGTTCTTGTATGTCAGTGTAAGTAAGTAATGTATGTTCATCATAGGAGCATTAGTGTGGTAATATGAGACTCATGTTAGTCTAACACGATGCTCTCCTTTGCTTTGGAAGTGACATTCACCACTGTAGATATCAAGCTGCTTGGCCAGACATGCCAGCACTTGCATCATTACACACACATAAATGCATATAAATGAAGTCTTTACATGCCTGCACCTGTGATGGATTATGGGAAAAGCTCGACGCAAATGCCACCTTTAAAAACAAGTATTGCTTTTCTATGGCTCCATGTTAGACAGGCCTGCTGTGCCAAGTCAAACTAAACTTTGGTTTAAGGGAGAGTTAATTGGAAATTTGGGACAAGACAACGTTTGACATCTTTGTGTGATGATAAATGACTGTAATAAAGAATCATCCAAAATAGTTCATGTCGATTCACATAGCAGCTGAGAGAAGGATACTAGATTTGGAAGTATCTGTCATATAAGAATGAGATTATTGTGGTGTTTGAAGGCTCCGTGTGCTAATGCTCCGGTGGTAAGGCCGACATAATGAGCTTAAATCATCTGACCTGACGCTCAACGGCCAAACCCATTATCAGCTCAGTGTCACACTGGTCTTGGGTTTTAGAGGAAGAAGAACTTGTACATTTCAGAATAGTGTGACTGTCCTGCCATCTTTTTTTGCTGCAACTTCCTGGTTGTGGTTTGCGCTTTTTCAAAACTGACATCTGTGGTCTGCACTCAAGCTGCAGGCTGCTGCCAACTAATCGTGATGTTCTGTTATGTGTCAAATGAACCGGCTGCCCTCTCCCCCTCTTTTTTCCACTGTCTTGTGTTGTGTGCTGGGGTGTGGGGTGACCGGAGAGCTGGCCCTGCCATTGGCTTGTCATCGGCCCAGGCCAAGTATGGAGAGTGGAGGTGGTGGTGGAGCAACTTTTGCTAGCATGTGCCTTCTGTTGGCCATTCGACGGAGAGACACATATGCAACTAAATGACAATGTGTGCCAAAAGAGGTGCCTGTGTGGACGAAAAATATCTTAAAATGTCTTAAATTTGTATAACCAACCATAAAAAAGACAAATGAAGCATGATATAAAAGTTATGACATAAAAAAGAAGAAACAATTGCACACTTGTATTTCTCCAAGTAAGCTGTTTGTAATTATATAAATAAGTGACAAAAAAGAAAAGTAAAAAGTAGAATTGATTTCATTAGTGGTCTGCAACTTGGTAATATACTGGACAATAACACAATATGAATCTTTAGATAATTAGAGATTTTGCTGTTAATATTTGTCCATTCTGATCAATATTTCTTGATGACCTTTATTTTTGTTTTTTGCATCAATGTGATGCAGAATTCCTACTGAATCGACCAGAATCTGACCTAACCGTTTGGTAATTCTATCAGTACCAGATAATATCCAGAACACCTGACTATACTGCTGTATCTATACATTCATGTCATGACATAATTACATATACCATGGTGGGATTTATAATAGGATTTTATTCATACCACTCACTGTTATACAAAGTTTCTGTTTAATGCCACAAAGATCCATGTGTATTTCTCTTGCCACAGTCACAGCTGGTTAAACTAAGTTCGCTCTCAGGCTTCTTATGTTCTACTGTCTTTGTTGTAGCTGATAACTTCAGCAGGAAACGTGTAAATCCACGTGTTGTATGTGTCCACATGTGTCCACCACTTTACTCTTGTCTCATCAGTTGAAACTGTTGTAGATTGTCCTGTGTTTAAATAATGAACTGGGAAACGTTTGATTCTGAGGAATCTGCACATATACTCAGCTTGTGTATTTTGGTTACAGTCAATATTCTGTGATATCAGTATGAAAATGGGATTTGTCAACATATCTATCTTGAAGAATACATAGACTTTCTTGTAATTGGCGTAATTCTTTGTTCATCCGAGGTTCGGATGCTGAGCAACACTAGAATTGCACAAACTGTGTTCAGTTAATGGAGATAATGTGTTGCTCTTTGACCCTTGAATAAACACTTAGAATCACTGTTGCTTCTCAAAAGTTTTGGACATCATTATGTTTGAAGTACTGAGGCCCGTGGTTTAACATTTATTAATGTCCGGTTATAGTCAACTTTTAACTATATATTGATTTTGTCTTAGGACAATATGCTCAAGCCAGTCAATCTGTGAAGCAGAAAAAACCCCTCACATCATCCTGGGTCTTAAATTGCTCTCTGAGTGGCTGTGGTGTCTCATGCGTCTGTGTTTCTGTTTGAAAGGGGCGTGTTCCTGCTATTCATAGTGGCGAGAACCTCTGAGGTCTATTAGAGGTCAGCACCAGTCCTGCTAATAGCAACTATTGCAGCACGCGGTCATTCAGATAAACTACACCTCCACGACACAGATTCTGCTTCCTCTCATACAATCACTACTGAATTGTGAGTACTGAGATTTATTTTTCCTTGGTTTGGCATTTGAAGATCGACAAATGTTCTGGAAATTTCATTGAACTGCTTTTACCCATTTTATCATATTTTGTCCTGGAGAGGACTTAGAAGTGGTCTGATCACTGCTTGTCTTTCATAGTGGCTCATAGCTGAACTTTAATGTGGGATGAAGAACGTTTACTTCCATAGAGGCTGAAAGGATCCAAACCACCTAATCCTGCTGCTACTATACTTTCTCTTTAATCCTTTAATTATTTTATATAAAAATGAATTGGATTTACTATGATCTCACTTCAGCACAATTTGTTGTATTGAAGTTGCAATTAACTGAATCCAAGCACCTTGTTCGGCTGCTTTTCTGATACACTTTGACCCAGTTGGCACCAGCCACCTGTGTCATGGGTGGGGCTTTAATAATAGAAGTAGGTGAGAAGTCAATTATTGCCACTGAGGTGGTTGAGCACTTGTTCATCTGAATGCAGCGGGGTCGTTACCTTACAATGGAGAGGTCAAATGAGTTGAACTTTTAAGTGCGTAAAGCCGCCTGTCTGATAACTAACGAGATTACAAGTGAGACAAGGAACATTAAATGAAAGATAAGTTATCCCTGAGATGTAGATATAGATACAATATCTATATGATGGAGACTAATATATTACTATATTTATTCTGTATACTATTAGTATACAGAATTGAAGACTAATCCATCACATTTTTTTAGTTCATGAATTCATTGTATGAACTGAAAAAGTTTATGAAAAAGTATGTTGGTCTGATAAAGGCTCAGATGATTTGCAATTTAGAATGTATTTAATAAATCACCGTTATTTCACTGTTTTAGTCAAAACTTTGTCGGACAGAGGCATTTAACCAGCACTTTAGATAATGTGGTTTCAGCCCCGTGAGCTCATTCCTTAAACATCCCGAACCTCAAAGCCTCATTCTCCTTCAGAAGTGTGTGTGTCCGTGTGTGTGTCTGTGTGTGTGTGCTTTTAACCCCTTGGAGGCCCTGTGATGCGAAAATATGTGTGGAGTCATATTTCCTTCCTGTGCCTTTTGTTTCCAAAGTGCACAGCTGTTGAATAGGATGGCACGTCTACCTTCTGTGTACAACATGTGGAAATGTTGAATAGAAATGACAGCAAACACAAACAGACACATGCAGCTCACACAGCTGCTTATTTTTCCACCGTTTAAATTTTTCTTTTGGAAAAACATGTTTGGATTATATGGATTTTTAAGTGCTCAAAGAAAACCTATTCCAAATCTTTTATAATAAGAAGAAACAGTCTGTGAAAACCTTTTCTCATTCAAGGACTTTAATTCTAGGTCATTACTCCAAGGATTTATTTTCACGTTCTACTCTATTGACATATAGGGGAGAAGCTGCTCACACACATTCATATAACACACACGGCAGTGGGACCGATACAGACCTCTCTAAATTGTATATGTAGAAGGAATAGCAACTTGAATCAAATATAAACAAAATAAAGTAGCTGGCTAAACTAAACTGAGTTGTTGGCTGTTTGACCAGCAGTCCTGGAACACTCTGTGGTCACTTCCCATAGGTTTTCATGTAAAAAACAAACCCTTATGTAGATTTACATCCTTAGCCTACATGAGTATTTATCTTTGGGTCATTAACTGTCTGTTTACCTTTCAAACAGCCACATTTTCAGACAGCCACCACACCTCTCGCCTTATCTTTGGCCCGTCTCATCTACACTGGTCCACTGCAGCGATTCATTCTTGGAGAATATCCTTAATGGAAACGTCAGCACTCAGGATCCCAGTGTCGAGCGCTCACCATCCAACATGACAATGACCTTTTACACACAGTCAGGACAACATGGAGCGGCTCAGGGACAACTCTGTGAATGTCCTTGAGTGGCCGAGCCAGAGCCCCGACTTGAACCCACTTAACCATCGCTCCAAAAATGTCTGACAGACTTAATAAACCTGAGGCTCTGCAGAGAAGAATGGTAGAAAATCCTGGTTTACAAATCTTGTTGAGTAACACAGAAGAAGACCTGAGGCTGTAGACGCTGCTTGAAAGTGCATAAACATGCTTTAAAGGTCAAGTGTGTACAATTTTTAGTGAAAAGGAACTATTGGCAGAAATTTAATGTAGAATAATTCTCATTATGTTTTCACTAGTTCGTTTCATCTAAATTATATGAATTGTAGTTCTCTTTACCCCAGAAAAGGCCCTTTATATTTAAATACTTTATATTTACATCGAGGGGTCCTCTCTCCGGGGGCCGCCATGTTTTTTACATTAGTCCAGACTGGACAAACTAAACACCTTTTGAGTTTTTATGACAACTGAAGCTACCACAGGTTCTTTTTCTGCAACAAGCAATTTCAGCACTATAGAGATCACTAAATTCTACACACTGTACCTTTATTTGCTGAGGAAATATATGTTGATATATTTCAGTTTCTACTTGAAACTGATGGAAGGAATACTGAATACACCTGCGTGTGTGTGTATATGTATAATCTTGGTGATTCATGACTTCTTTATTTTGAAGGCTAATGTCAGGATCTAAGGTGTCTGTCGTTTTTTTTGTGTAGAAAACTTAGACATTTGAAATAAAGAAGGAAGCACAGATTATCGCCCCCCTATTGGAGCCACTCCAGTACAACAAGCTTTAAATAGACTTAAAGATACAGATATTTTGAACAGAAATATACATATGGAAGAAGACATACTGCAGAATTGAGACTGAAATCTTCCATGTGTAATGTTCCCCTTTCTGTTTCGTTGCAGGGTGAGTGCAGATCAGCCATGCAGGCTCAGGAAGTCCTGAGACAGCTGCGCATTCCCGAGCTGGAAGACCTCCGGCAGTACATGCGTGGCTTGCCTACCAACGCGCTCATGGGCATGGGTGCTTTCGCCGCCATCACCACCTACTGGTTCGCCACCCGGCCGAAAGCCCTCAAACCGCCCTGTGATCTGGAGCTGCAGTCAGTGGAAATTCCAGTATGTGATTTTTTTTTTTGTCCTTAATATATAAAATGTCCTAAACACAACAGAGGGAAAACAAGATATCTCTGTCCACCCACTGGCCTGTAACACTGTGTGTTATTGGAATAACTGAATCATGATCCAGCTACAAGAACGAAAGGGAAAAGAAAACTCGACAGCAAGTCTCATTCAGCAGGAATGTTAATGGATCCGCTCCAGGAACGTAATCACAGCTGTAGTTCTTCAAATTACATGTTTGTTTTGACGTCCTCACATATACAGAGCTAATAAGTTTATCTCTGACCTAAACCAGGATGTGCTGGTAAAGACGGCTTTGATATTTTTAAGTTTTTATGGTGCCACTTTCTAATAAGAACCTTTTAGAACTCCTTGGGTGCTGGGTTGTGACGAATCCCTTCATTTCACTCCATCCTCCTCCCAGAGATGTTCTGCAAACTAATGGACCAATCTGAGAGGACATGTCTAAAGTATAGATTCACCCTGATATGGCTGCAATTTTCTTTTCTTTTCCTTCTCTTCTTAAAAATGTCCATAAGTTGGCAATATTTCACGCTGAAAACAAAGGAAAACTGTGACGTGCACCAAATGAAAGACTTGAGTTTTAAGGGGTGAAACAAGTGTTGTCAATCTTAACACAAGGAATAGACCACACTTCAATGTTAGCAGTCCTTATTTCCATTTAAGGTTAGTAGCACACAACTGTTGTATAAGTTATGTTTTTTAATGCACTGGTATGGGATCAGTACTCTGTATCAGTGGAATCTCTATCAGGCAGAACTGTGTCGGAACATCTCCTCCTCCCCCTGAAGCCGAGTGCTCATTTGTCTTTAGTTCTTGGACTTTTGACCTCTGACATTCCAGAAAAGACAATCGATCTATGAAACTGCAAATGGACAAAAAAACTGTTTATTAACAACCTACTAACATCTGATGAAATGAAGATTGTATAGTGATGGTTTTAAAACATTTACAAATGTATCTTTAACAAGTAGATTAAACAGAAGAGCATTTTTTTCACATGGCAACAATGAAGTCAGTCTTATGAATGTTTGAAAACGGATCTGTGACGACCTGGACTGCAGATAATGATTACCTTCATTTAAACTCCCAAATTTTTTTATTAATCTTTAACTCAATGAAATGTCAAGAGTGGAAAGATTTGTCAGCTCTGCAGGATCCCAGGTGACGTCCTCTAAGAAGGTATTTCATTTGTTGTTACATGAGACAAAGAGAAACCTCAGATCTGCCATCAGACGAGTTGGAGCCTGAGAATGTGAAGCAGTTTTCACAGATATTTTGCTTGAAAAAAGACACGAAACAAAAAGACAAATCAATATTTTTCATCTGATTATTTCAGCTGTAGCAGCAGCTGCTTGTGCCTGGAACGAAACATGTAGATCGGAAGATAGAAAACTGGAGTGTGAACTCTGCAAAAACAGGAAACAGATGAAGGAGAAAATTAACAGCATTGATTTCAGTCTCCACTTACAGAGTCATATGACTGATGACACAGATGACCTGTGTTGGGAACAGAGTGTGACATAAAGATGAATTACATTACTACCATTGGTGTGTGTATGTAGTGTTCATGTCTTTCAGCAGCTATTTCCTGGATTTTCTCATTGTTTTTAGCCACAAACCAAAATGATCCATGTTTGTGTCGTATCAGAGAAACACATTCTCCATAATAAATAATAATAATAAATCTCATCATAAGGTGTTGTGTGGTAGGTTTGCCCAGTGCTGATTCTAACCTTTGGATTGTTTTGTTTGTAGGGTGCAGAGCATGCAAGGAGATCCGTTCTGAACGAGAGCAGCGAACACATGACGCACTTTTACGACGATGCACGCACAATGTACGAGGTGTTTCAGCGAGGGCTCGGAATATCGCGTGAGTGCTGAGCTTCTATCAGATAATTGGGAGAGTCCCTGGAGATAAGAGATCCACCTTTTTCCTGTGAATGTAGATAAATGTGAGATTTATTTTTCCCTCCAGGTGACGGACCTTGTCTCGGATCGAGAAAACCAAACCAGCCGTACGAGTGGCTGACATATAAAGAGGTGAGGCGAGGAGAATGAGATCCACTGTGTTTCTCTGTGACGAGGCACAACTGGACAAGCCTTTGTTTTGTTTTGCACAGGTAGCAGACAGAGCAGAGCACATCGGTTCTGCTCTCCTTCACAGAGGACACTCTCATACAGGAGACAAGTACATTGGCATTTTTTCCCAGAACAGGCCTGAGGTAAAACAACGTTTTATATTACCTGCCATTCCTTTACACGCCTGTTTCTCCGTCTGTTCCTCTGTCTGTCACTCAGTCTGTCGAGTAAAGACCTGTCTCCAAAATCATTCACTGCTCACTTCAGTCCCATGTTCACCATTTTTACATCCTCACATAACAAACTGAAATGATCTAACAAAGCAACATTAGGTCCAATCGATGGTCACTAACACAGAGCTAATGACCCTCTAACGTAAAGAATGATATAATAAACTTATCTAATGAAAAAAAGGAAATATTTACTTGGTTCAAAGTAACAATATTATCTGAAAGAAACAGTCTGCATTCCAGTGACAACTAGTGGCCAGAGGTTGAGTTGTCCATTCTTTCCCATTCTTGTCAATATATCTCAAGAGAACCTTGAGGGAATTCTTTCAGATTTGGTACAAACGTTCACTTGAGAACCGATGCGATCAAAGGTCAAGTTCACTGTGACCTCACATGTGAAGCATGATGTCCCAAGTCTGTCTTCAGGGAATGTCATCAGTTCATTTTGACTCAAAGATTAATAAAGATTCACGATGACCTCCTGTGAGTCTGAAAAAGTAAATGTTGACAACCACAGGGCGTTAATTTTAGTTACATCCTATGTATAAATAGTCCATCAAGTTTCTAGACTTTGATTCATATTGTACTGAAATTGAAAATATAAAGCTAAATATATAGCTACATTTTGTATTGTTTGTTAACAATGTGTGTCTGGTCTCTTCTCTCAGTGGACCATTTCAGAGCTGGCCTGTCACACGTACTCCATGGTAGTCGTCCCACTGTACGACACACTCGGCACAGAGGCCATCGCCTACGTTATCGACAAAGGTGAGAGCACCAACCACGCACGTAAACCACCTGCACTGCTTTAGGTCCAGGACGCTGATGTAACGGTTAATTTGGTGGCATCTTGTTTTGCAGCTGCCATCTCCACCGTGATCTGCGATGTGCCTGAAAAGGCTCAGATGATTCTGGACAGTGGGAAAGGGCAAACGGTGAAGACGATTGTGCTCATGGAGTCGTTTGACAGCGAGCTGGTGGCCCGTGGACAAGAGTGTGGCATTGAGATTCTGAGTTTGAAACACTTTGAGGTAAGAACAACAACTTCATCCTTAAGTCTCAATTTTATTTTCCGTGCTTTAACAAAACCTGTATCTACTGAGCTTTTGCGACCATCAGAAGATGTTCTGGGAAACTAGACGCTCTTGTCATTGTCGTACGAGTCACACTGTCATTAACTCATGTTCTGGTTGGATCTAAATTGATATTAGGCCCTGGGGGGGTTCTGTGTGCAGGAAGAGCTGATAATAATTGTACTTTGAAACAGACACACACTCCGTAACTCACGCTAATAATGTGTTTATATTCTCCAGGCCTTGGGTAAAGCCAACCACCAGAATCCAGTGGTGAGTAGGAACAAAAAAAGTCTCTTTATTCTTACTCAATTCAACTTGGAGCATTTATATTATTTGTAACCACTGAACACAGTTGATGTTTTCATGCACACTTCCAATGCAACATCACATTAGCTTTCATTTGCATAAGTGCAGATCTGTGCTCTGATTACAGCCCCCTACACCAGAGGACCTCGCACTTATCTGCTTTACATCTGGAACCACAGGTAATAACACAACAACACAACCTTTCACAAATGTTTTCTTTTCTACATCATGTATAAACATGAGCTTTAATTTCTTTTCAGGAAATCCAAAAGGTGCAATGCTCACTCACGGAAATGTGATCGCCAACACTGCAGCTTTCCTTAGAGTAACACAGGTAAACAAACACAGCAGATGACTCACCCTCAAAATTAGAGCCCGATCGATACGGATGTTCCGGGGCCGATGGTGATACTGATATTGGAGTGTAAGATAATCAGTTACAGATATATCAGCTGATAAATATGTTTATAAAAATTCCTAAAACAAAGTTCACAAACCCTGATGACAAAGAAATGTGAATAATAAGATCTAGAACTATAGTAAAAAGGAAATGCAGATAGAACTTGAATTTTAAGAAATGTGAGTAAAATGTTAACATCTTTCCACATTTTGTATTTCGTGGAATTAAAAAGGAGCAACCAGCAGGCGAAACTCAGGGCTGAAAAAAGTATAGCAGTAGTAAAAAAGTTTTTTTTAATAAGATTTAAAAAAAAAAAATAATTGTAAAAGGTAAGCTACAGTATAATAGAATATATTAAATGAAATAAATTATTATTTGTATATATTAATAATGTAGCTGTAGAAAGAACGAAAACATATAATATAAAATAAATACTATATTTACCTCAAACTCTTTTTTTGACCTTGATTAAATTGTGCCTCTACAACGTCTGAGACCAAACCTCGCCCTTGCATTCATGAGATCTGTTTCTAATCAAACATGAGCTTTTGTTGTTTTTTGGGGGGCTTTTCTCTATTTCTTATCTCCCCTCTCACTCTGACTGACCTTCTCTGACCGCTCTATATTTTCCTTTCCTCTGTCGTCGTCTTCATCCGCTGCGTCTATGACATCCTCCAGGCCACACTGAGGCCCAGCTGTAAAGACGTGCTCATCTCCTTCCTTCCTTTGGCCCATATGTTTGAGAGGGTGGTGGAGGTACAGTACGCCATGCCTGACAAGCGTCCGTGTGTGGGCTTTGTTTTGTGTGTTCTCTGCAGGTACACTGCATGCTGGATCTCCATGACATTCACGTATCCTATCTCCCCCTAGCTCACATGTTTGAGAGGGTTGTGCAGGTATGTTGTGGACTTGTTTACCTAACATTTGTCGTTATGAAATGATTAGAGATCGAAGAATCAGGAGCATTATGTCCCGTTGCTTTCACAATTGGAGACTGTGGCTTTAATAGTTTTTAAGAGTATTTCTGAAAACAGATTTGAATTATTTGTCAGAAGTCTGGAAATATTTAAAGCATCATTGCTTTGCTACTTAATTGAACGTTTTAGGAGCATGCTGTGATTTACGCTTTTCATTGTATTTCATAAAACTGAAAATGAGCGTCAGAAATGTTCACTTACTTTCTTTCTATTTCTTCTAGCTGATATTTTCATATTTAAATTGCAGTTCAGCTAATTTTTGACTGTTTTTCATGTTTTGTGTCAAACAAAAATTTGACACAATAATTTTTACAAATGCAACACACACGGAAGTCAGCTTATTATCATTTGCATCCATTTCAATTAATAATAAATGTAACAGTGTCCAACCGCTTGTATGGCAGTGTAGTGCCTCCAAGTGGAACAACTGTGCCCTCTTGTGGCTAAAACATCACACTGACTCCACTTGTACATGGAGGAATAAGCAGCTGTGTGTTCATCAGGGCGTCGTCCTCATCCACGGAGCTCGAATCGGCTACTTCCAAGGAGACATTCGACTTTTGATGGACGACTTGAAAACGCTGCAGCCGACGGTCTTCCCCGTCGTCCCACGTCTCCTCAACCGCATGTTTGATAAGGTCAGACACAGGATCACTTCTGCAGTTTATTTAATGTTACATTGTTATTTTCAATGTTATTTTCGTTATTTATCTCGCCTACCTCATTTGTCTGTGGTCTGTCTTCCTATGTAAAGGTTTCGTATAAATTAAAACAGTTCTCTGCTGCATCAGGGAACTTGGAAATAAATGTTCTTCACGTGTCATTAGGTTTTCTGTCAGGCCAACACGCCGCTGAAGAGATGGCTGCTGGACTTTGCCTTCAGGAGGAAGGAGGCAGAAATGAAAAATGGTGTGGTCAGAACGGACAGCATGTGGGACAAACTCATCTTCAAAAAAGTTCAGGTAAATGTGATTTTAAGGAATTTTAAAACTGTCTGCAGCTATAAAATGTCTTGCAAACAGAAAAACATTTATCTTTGTGTTTTGTTCCTTGTAGCAGCCCCATACTGATAAATACACAAATAATCTTTGTGCGTTAGTGTTAATGGTGTTATTTCTTTTATAATGTTTGATCATTTTTCTGTCAATCCTATACGATGCATAATAGATAATGGCAAGTTTTTGTATGGTTTAAGGTAGACTGGGTCGTCCACCAGATTGGTTCGATCCCCGTCTCCCCCAGTCAATTTACCGTAAAGAACATTTACTCAGTTTGACATTTCTGTCTTCTCGTTTTGTTTCACACTCTGCAGGCGAGTCTGGGCGGACGTGTGAGACTCATGATCACAGGAGCTGCACCGGTGTCACCAACGATCCTGACGTTCCTGCGAGCTGCTCTGGGCTGTCAGGTGACCACACATCTCACTTAAAGAGTTTTCAGACATGAACAGGAAAATGCTCAGTAAAATTTGGTCTGAACATTTTCCTGCTGGGTTCACTTGGTCATTTATCAGGGGGTTGGTAGGAATAGTTCTGGATTATTTTATTACTATTATTTCATTACTCAGCCCCTTTGGAGAATTTCAGGTAAATGTCTGAAACAGCTTTATAGTTTCCATAAATGTGACCAATATTTTTTTTTTGTAGTTTTATGAAGGCTACGGTCAAACTGAATGCACAGCAGGCTGCACCATGTCGATGCCTGGAGACTGGACAGCAGGTAGAGCTTCTGCTAACTGTCGCTGTTGCAATTATTTTAATTTCTGTCAACAATGAAACTGAACTGTCTCTAATCTGTCCTCAGGTCACGTCGGGCCTCCTCTGCCCTGCAACGCTGTCAAACTGGTGGATGTGGCAGAAATGAATTACCTGGCAGTCAATGGAGAGGGAGAGGTGAGGAGCTCTGCTTCATTAGAAATGAGACAGAGGATGAGGAAAATATTTGTGCATCAAAGTTAAAACCACTCAGAACTCAACTATGTTCTTTTTACTCGTTTTCTCTGTAGGTTTGCGTCAAAGGACCAAATGTATTCAATGGATACCTGAAGGACCCTGAGAAAACAGCTGAGGCTATCGACGAGGACGGATGGCTGCACACAGGGGACGTTGGGAAATGGCTTCCTGTAAGCTGAACAACACTGACCTAAGAAATCTGATCATTATCGAGATGGTAAAGTTGAGTGAAGTTAAGTTTCTTTTGTGGTTCGTGGCAGAACGGCTGTCTTAAGATCATCGACAGAAAGAAGCACATTTTCAAGCTGGCACAAGGAGAATACATCGCCCCCGAGAAAATAGAGACTGTCTACAACCGCAGTGATCCAGTGGCTCAGATATTTGTTCATGGTGACAGTTTACAGGTCAGTAATTCATCTTGTATCCACACATATACTCATATTAGAGTTTGCACTCTGTGATCTTCATGTTCTCTGTGCTGTTTTTAAGGCGTGCCTGGTGGGGATAGTTGTGGCTGATCCAGACTTTTTACCAATTTGGGCCAAGAAAAAAGGGATTGAAGGATCTTACACTGAACTGTGCAGTAAAAAGGTCAGATTTATTTCTCTCTCTTTCTCAACAGTCCGATCTTAACTCTACTGCCCCCTCTGTTTTTTTTTTCTGACTGTCATTTTCATTTTTCTGACTTAAAACTGTTTAGGAGGTGAAGGAAGCCATTCTGGAGGACATCCTGAGGTTGGGAAAAGAAGCAGGACTCAAGTCGTTTGAACAGGTGATTTCTTCCACGTTTGACTCGATCACAATAGTTCCGCTTTTTTCACTTAGCTGCATTTGGACTGGAAACTATGAAGGAGTATTAGTCATAATACTACAAGAATAAATTTGTAACATTACAAGAAACAAAGTCCTGAATTTACGAGAATCAACTAGGAATGTTATGAGAATAAAGTCATAATGTTGTGAGAAAAAAGTTTTACACTTGCTACAATAAAGTTGTAGTATTATGAGAATAAAGTCAATATTACGAGAGGAAAGTCAAATTTACAAGAATAAAGTTGTAATATAAGAATAATTTTACAGGAAAAATATTAGAATCAGCCTGTTGCCTCTACTCGTTAAAATCTGACTTTAATATATAGATTTTTTTTCTCAATAATGATATTCTCAAAATCTAGCATTTGATTGTAAACACTAGTTTACAGTTTTGGACACTTAATTGATTGATATGTATTATTGAAAATGGTTGGTTGCAGCACTATATGAAACTCACTGTTTATCTTTGTTTGTTCTGCAGGTGAGAGATATTGCTCTACACCCCGAGATGTTTTCAGTCCAGAACGGTCTCCTGACTCCTACCCTGAAGGCCAAGAGGAATGAGCTGCGGAGCCACTTCAGGGAGCAGATTGATCAACTTTATGCCAAAATTAAGTTGTAAACTGGAATCTGGGACTAATGTAAGGAGGTGAGAATCACTTAGAGCAAAGCCAGAACCAAACCAGTCTAGTGAAGGGGCCTTTACTCGATTTTTCTACCTGTGACACTCCTTACAGTTTTGTGGGGACAAAACAAACCAACTGAAACTTCAATTAGTGATTGTACGTTATTTTTCCCCTGCTATTACTGGCTATTAGTTCAGATTATCCCAGAACATCTTGTTATTGACTTAATTTATACAATTCAATTACATTCTATTTGTACAGTGCCAAATCACATCATACTATATTTCAAGGCACTTTACAGGAATAAGGGTTAAAAAAAAAATGGGAAAAATGTGACGTGCTCATGCCTTAACCAACAATAACTCTTCTTCATGGTTAGAAAGGTTTAACCTCTGCAAACATGTTGATCAGATAAAAACCCACAAATGTGCTTTTAAAAACATGTATGCTGTGTCTCAAATCACATACTTTCATTCATGCAGCCCAGGAATGACGGCACCATCTGCGTCCATGACGTGCCCCTTTTTCGTATGTCATTTTCACAAATTTGAAAATGGTGGTGCCCTCTTTCCGCTGTGTTGCCAAAATGGCAAGAATTTGACTCTTGACGGTTTTTTTTGCACCATGTTGGTACATCTGCTGCCTTAAAATATAACGTATGAGCTAGTGGTTCCTGTGTGGTGACACAGGAATTTGTGTATGCGATTTGTTTCAGGTCATTAGAATAGGGCTGCTAGGCGACATATGAATAATGTTACCGTCAGTGTCTGGAAGCCAGAGAGGCTTGGCAACTTAGCCAGTTAGCAAGCAGGTAACGCAAGGACGGAATGAAAAGATGAGGCTGATGAAAGAATATCTGCGCTTTTCTCAGACATGATAGAAAATTCTGTTACTGTTAAAATTGCAATATATCCATTTACCATTGATTTAAAAAGTGTTGCATCTCGTGAGCTTGGAGCTTTCAGAAAGTTCTGAGGTTGTGAATTCCAGAGGGGTGTGTTCACATGAACTCTTTTTGTAAAGACGAGCCCAGTTGAAGGCTGCGTTATAGTGCACTCCATACTTGAATTGAGACACAGCACAACAACATTAACTATTTATAAACCAGACTATTTAATGTTATGGTTATCTGCTTAAGCTGATAACCTGTAAATATCGTATCTGCTGAAAATGTGTACGCAGTGTCGTGCCTGATACTCGGATTGTTAATTCCCTGCATTCCCATGTTTCTCAGTGCTGGAGGCTAAAGGGCTGATAAACCGGTTCTTGTGCACAATGTAGTGAACAGCCGACTGGGAATCATGTTGCTAGAGAGATGTTTTTTTGCTCTTTGGAGTTGTTTGTGTTTTCTTTTGAAGACAGCATAGAAAATATTGAAGGTTACATTATTGTACATGCAGCCTCCTCTTTGAGATTTCAGTGCCACTAGCTGCGAGGTAAAACAAAAGTGCATTCATACAAAGGTATTCAAGGGGAAATATGTGGTAACATTATCACATTTCATATTAAAAGCCCAGTGTTTTTAATTCAAGGCCTTTATCAACATTTCGCAAACACTTTCAATGGAATGTGTATTTCAGTGGTTAAACTTTGTGTTTTTCTGAATTGTGATCATAACACACATCTAATCGTGTTGGTGACAAACAGATCAAGCCATATTATTATTTTTTTCAAAGACGTATGATCTGAAAAGGACAATAGTACATTGTGCTGGAGGAAAAAAGTGCAGTATCTATATTTGTCAACTGTACCAAATAAAAACTTTCTTCCAAACCCAGGTGTTAAACTCT